CGCCGTAACCTCCGCTCCGGTGTGCTCGTACTGGGTGTTGAACCCGGTGCCACAACTCACCAGCACCTTGGCGCCATCAGCAGTGGATCCACTACTGTGTTGGCACGGCACCCTCTCGGCAACCACTCACTGTGACTACGTCACATCCGACTCACAAGGACCAATGAATCATTTGGTCACGGCGCACTAGAACTTTACAACTACTGCCAATCTGGCTGAACAGGGATTTCTTCAGGGATACTACACAATCACACCACTGTTTTACGTACTTTGAACTGTATATTGTTATTAACACTTAGGTACAATCTTCTTGCGATCTACTTTTGAACTGAACAATCATACAACATTCGCCGAGGGTCATTGAACGGCGGAGAATCTTAACACCGCGATTCAGAAAATGGACTAAAACTAACAACACCATCTAGTTACAAAATTGGAACTAAAACTCTATTTGACACAGATTTAAATTTCGGTTGACGTTTGAACACCATGACAGTCTAAAAATGGAATGACAAGTGAAAATTCAATGTACACTCAGTCCACGATAATGTTTGACTAAATTATATTAATAAAGTGTTGTCGTGACCGGACTTTAGACTTGTGGGAGCTTTCTACTAATGCTAATTCGATATTGAATTATTTGTGAAAACCATTTGTGTCTAGTCCAACCAGTTTAAGCAAAGATATGTATTACGAGGCTTTCGTAATTAAATAGCAAAATAAAAAACGTACACCAATGAAAAGTTGAGATGATAAAATGAGAAGAACCCTGTGTCTTGTCATATATAGAAATCTAAGCGTTACCTATGATATACATTCTAATTCGCGAATTATGAATGATCAGAATTTTATTCTTCAGTTAAAGACAAATAAAGTGTTACAATATTGTCTAGTCATCTATGCATTCATAAGTATCAATTAAAAGAAAATAAACTTCACAGTACCTAAACATAATTGCACACTTGAAATATAAATTAGTTGCTATACACAGCGTGCACCAATCATTTAATTCAAATGCACTTACACAGCTAAGCATAGGACAGACGATTTCACTGCTATTAACCAGATATTTAGGGCTCGGGACCCTTCAGCTCGTATATCGCAAATGCCTGATAAACCGCTAGTGAAGCTAGTGAAAGCAGAAATAAATAAGGCTCCTTAGAATTGAATGGATACTTATTAGAAAACTGTCTGGGTTCCTTACTACAACTACTAAATCAATTACTTTCTTGATATTTGTAACGACAAGCGTTTATCCCGTTGGCTAGTTCCGGTTGTGATCTATTTCTATCCTAAACTTTCTGTACCTACGTATACGTAAGGTACTTCTTAGGCGCAAAAAATTACATACCCTAGCATCTCCTTAAAGTCTACATTCTCAATGTTTTCTCCAAAAGTTTTCAAACCAGTAGTACGGATGTACGGTTGATGCGGTGGCTGGGCAGCTGCTGGGAATGGAACGTGTCGCAGGTTCCATTCCCGCACAGAACGACTCTTTGTGTGATCCCCAAATTGTTGTTCCGGGTGTGGGTAAACGCAACCACGATACAGGAGAAAATCCAAGTGTGGGGCAACTTTTTATTCATAGAAAAAATGTAGTCATGTATCAAAAATTTCAATAAAGTTATAACAGTATCGATAATCGTAATAAATGAGAATGGAAACCCCAAGAAGACATCGATGGACAAACAATGAAAACAAAAAGATATTTTGCGTCATCCAAATGAGAAGTACGCAAACCCAAATTATTATGCAAAAGAAAAAAATCTTTGGCGAAATGTTAATATCTCGATAAATTGAAAACGAAGAGGAGTAACTACTATTTAATATTCCAATTTCTTATCGAACTAAATACACAATTTCGACAAGGCTTTTCTCTATCGCTTTAGGGATAATTTGATACAGTTCTAATAGGTTATTGAACAGTTTTAAAGGTCATTTCGTTTCGTTCTTAGAAAATTTTCTTCTCACCTTTCATTTACTCAATTCAGTTAAAATAACTTTATGATATTTCATGAATGTTCCTTTTATAGTTTAGGCATCAAAGGGCGAAGTTTGATAAATCACAATTCCTGTTAAATGCTAGAATATTTGCGGATAACATGCCTCAACATATTGTAAGTAACGTAAAAAAAAGAATAGAAAACAATTTATTAACTATTCACCCTATTAAAGAAAGTCAAGATTGTGTTTACACACGAAGAGTCAATCGGGTAAACTTGAGACGAAGATAATGTTGGTAAATTACTCAATTCAGTAGTTATATGATCGTGTATTACTAGACAAGATACTTTTTTATCACAATGGGGATGATGACAGGGTATGAAAATTAAAAATATAATTAGTTCGTAAGTTAGGTAATGAAAAAATATTAGACACGTATTTTTTTATTTTGTCGTATAATAAAACAATACTTAGATAAAACGAATCAAAGTTTAGGAGTGGGGGCTAAAACGTCATTCCTTAGTATAAAATGTACTGAGAAGTGACGTCACGCGACATTTCAAATCAATATATCTTCGAAACTATTCGTTTCTGTGAGAAAATAAAAAATACGTGTCTAATGTTTTTAAATAATCTATCAGACGGACATTAAAATAAAAATTAGTCGTCTACCCCATTCTCATAGAATATTTCGTCTCGTGCAAGTTGAGGGTAAAATGTTGAATAATCACATAGATTTGTCCATAGTCGTGTTCGTGCCCTAAGATTTCACGCCTCGAGCGCCGACCCGGTCGACAGGCTTATCCGTCAGTATCGGAAAAAATCTCATTTTGCGCTCTATTTCCTCAGCACGAAGGGCCGTCAAATCTACTTATCGATAATGCCCGCCTGATGGACCCAATACCTGCTTATTGAATAAAAACGTTACCATTTTACAAGTAGAATCTTCAATTATCGAAGATCCCACTCCAAGTTCTTATCCCTTAAATGGTGTAGCGATAATATCGCTCAACGATCATAGCATTATCTATTCTAATACATGCAAAATAAATGCTAATTTTATGTAGCCTTTCTCACTTGACTTGAGAACAGTAATTATTGGTGGCTTGTACTTAATGATGACCGTGTACGTAGAGCTTTTTCTTTTAATAAAGTAATTTATATATTAGATTATGTTGATTATAGCCCATGATAAAACGTTAGTAACGTTCATAGAGACTCTGTTAATTGAGACATATGACCATGATAAAAACAATGCAAAACAGCAACTATTATGAAGGACATTTCACACACTCAACAAGAATCAAAAGATCACATAATACCAAGAGTATAAAGCAAAAATAACAATGAACACTTTACTACCAATAATATAAAAGCTGGATAAAAATGAGCGCAGAATTCTAGAAATAACGAAGTCATAGGTACACTTAGAGAAATTAAAATGGCGAAATTCAATGAACTAACAAAAGGCACAAAGGTTAATAAACCCGAAGAAAAATACGATGATATTATTGTATTTTCGCATGCCGTGACCACCTACGATATGTATGTTGCGATACTAGGAAAAATATAAGATAAGAATCGTCGGAATTCTTACTGTACCAACCAATCAACTGCAGTGTGTTTTTAAAGGAGAAGCACTTTATTTTATACACGAAAAACAACGTAAAGGGAATAGACATAAAGGAAGGCTTTAAACGCGACTTGTAGTGATCTAAATTAGAATTAAAACGATTAAATTGAAATTACAAGGGAACGTGTCATAATTGCAAGTATCACTTATAACTGTACGGTGAACAGTAATAAAATAATCATAAAAATGTTAGCACTAGAGCAAGTAGTCCGTGGAAAAGCAATTTAATATTAATAAATGAACACAGTTATTACTCCAGAAACATATACATAGATAAACTTCATAATGAGTTATGTTATGATATAAGTTTTATATCGTAATCAAATGAAAATGTACAAAAAATAACCTACAGATGTTCTAAAGTTCAACTATAATAAAGTTAATATGATTGAAGAAAAAATTGTAACAACAGATAGATAAATCAAAGAATGTCATTCTATACTACAAAAAGATGAAGTAAAAAACTGAATAAGAGCCTTAGAAAATGTAAGACAAACCACAGCATCAGGAGATCAACAAGATAAAACATCAACAAAGAACAATAAGTTCTTGACTGTATAATAATTCAATCAATACGATTTGAACGGAGATATTGTAGAGTTTATAAATGAAGAAATTCCCGTAAGCTCGTCTCAAGATACAGAAACAGATAATTTACTTCGTGACTTTAGAACGATAGATTTTAATCGAATACATATTTATGCGGCTTTTGACAAGTATTGGAGATTTTTTCATTACGTGGGTTTTTTCATAACATAACATAACATAACATAACATCACGCCATTTATCCCCGAAGGGGTAGGCAGAGGTGCACATTATATATACTACTGTACAATGTAACACCCACTTTTCACTATTTATGTTATGAGTCCCATGTAATAGGGGGTGAGCCTATTGCCATATACCGGGCACAATTCCAGACTCCGTGCTACTACTGAGAATTATTTAAAAAGGGTTGAGGGTTTTTTCAAATTACTTTATTTTTCAGATTTTTCTATCCGTCCTACGAAACCTAGTTTCATTCTTATTTAAATGAACACTGAAACAAACACAGCCATTAAACTTCTGACGGCTTTCAGTCATGTTTATGGCATTTTGCTTGCCATTACAATGGTTTTATGGTGAAAACATCCTTGGGAGTAAAGTAGACACTTAGGCACCGCAATTTTCATCGTTTCATAGCCTACCTATTTAGCTGAAACGATAATAAACTTTCAAACATGCTTTTAACTTAAGATATTCATAAAAATGCCATAGGAGTGACTTTTTGAACATGAACGCTGAAATCTAAACATGTTATATTTTTTTTCAAACTTAATTCTCAGTATCAAGCACACAGTGACTAAATGCACACACAAGTTGACACGCACGCAACGTAGTTGACGTAAATTAGTCAATAAATAATAATTGACATCAACGCACCACTAGAGTGATGGAGTAGACGCGTCGTTCGAGCGGCAGAATGCGCGCGCCGCACCACACCGCCATGGCGGCACTGGCTGCGCAGGCGCAGGCGTCATGCGCCACCGACCACACCAGGTGACAACGACAATATCGACCAACAGTAGACCAACTAGGGTCGTGATACAAGCTCAGCTGCCAGAAGGCACAATCATAGTAATTGCGTGCTATTTTAAGACGTCCAAATCGCACGATCGAAGCAAAAAAATACAGTTCAAAATGTCAAACCAAGAATAGAAACGTAATATTAAACGAATCATTGTACCTACAGATCGATTGTCGACTTCAGATTGTAGAAAAGCCTATTGAAAGTATTAGATACATACATTTGTAAATAAAAAAGTGCTAGACGCAATATATACGTGGGAAGACTATTACTGAGCTGAAACTATCAATTATTACAGCAATAAAAAATCTATCAATGATATAAGAACTAAAATCTGTTACCGCATAGGCAGTGACGACGCAAAAGAAAATGCAATTCATGCGCATATAAATTGCTAGTGGCGTATGGCGGTAAAAAATTCAAGGTTGGGTCTGTGGTGTAATAATGCCGGTGATCTATATCAGTCGAGCCGGAATAACGGACATCCCATTTTGTGCAGCATGCACACTGCCGCAGCTAAGTGTGCGTGTTACTGCAACGGGACGAATTAACGGGATGCTCCATTTTACGTAACTTCTGCGCACATCTGCTGCACTTAGTACCCTACATTTAGGTACCTATCTTATCTTTCATTATCTTGACCTTATTCCTAAAAAGATTCATTCAGGTTAAAGTTAAATTTTTATATAACAATGCAATTGTAAGTCCTTTAAAAGACCCGTTGTAAGATTTAAAACTTCCCGCTAACCGTAACTCTTGTTTTAGAATCTTAGATCTACTTATTATCTACAAACGTGGCCGAAACGTTACGTGGTCCACGAGGCACATTGCTGGACTTCCACAAAACCTAGACAGTGAACTAGTTTTAGTATTTTCGGAGTAAAACTACAGAATTATCGCAGTCGTGCATACCATCTTTACTTTGAAGTAAACAACCTTAATGAGCTAGAAGAATGCAGTTTCCCGAACTATTTCTTAATGTTATAGACAGATTTTGGTTTAAAATTGTACAACCTAAACTGGCTTTAATCTTAGAAAAGATATTAAAAACAAAGTCGCATATAAAAGCGACTTATGAAATGAAAATTCTAAGCAAAGAAGCATAAATGGTTGACTTATTCAACATTCATTTCCTCGCAAGACATTTGCATTTCAGAGACAGTCTGAATTATGATAATCATATTCTGGATCTTGTTATTTTTATTTATCTGTTCCATTGCTTTCGTGACACGGCGACACGTGCAGAGGATAACATCAATTCCAGAAGATTATTCTAACAATACTTTTTAGGGAGCTAGCTAATGTTAGTATCTTTTATATAAATAAAAATGAATCATCGAAATGTTTGTAGACTCTTATTTACACTACTAATTATTAAACTACTCGACCAAATTAGATAACTCTTATAAGTCTTATAAGATCTTTATAGTAAAGTCAAGATTTGTATGAAAGAAAGAAAAATTTCACGCAATCACCTGAAACATCGGGAAATAGCACTTGGGCGACGATGAAGTGTGTTGGTAGTTTAAGATAAATATTTTCAAAAAAAAAGACGCTTGTGCTAACCACAACTTTATTTTAAGATATTTTAAGTTATACGCAGAAAATTGCACGCCAACTTAGACACGGAGTTCTGTTTACTCGCTTTTTGCCACCGAATCGAAAAAATATCTGCGAACGACCAAAACAAAAGTAATTTGAAATTCGACACAGCGAGGTGAGTCTGATATAGGTAACAAATATTTCCATTATTAAAAAATCGCATTAGTTGGTTGAATAAATTGCAGCAAGTGTGACGAGCCAATCAACGCATTGTGAGGCATTTTGGGTCTAGTCTAGTACCTAACGCCTTTAATTGCTTTAAACCTTTTTCCAACTCTCAGTAAAAACACGAAGTTTAAAATTAATGAGTGAAATTAAACGGAGGTTAATATGTGTACCTACCTACTATCTCTACCTACTAAAAGGCATAATTTTATATTATTTATAAAAGAATGCATATCAAAAATGTAGATGAGGCCAGAATTAATCGCGGTACCTATAATAAAATATGTAATTTGGTACAATAAGTATGATTATTGTAAGAGAATAGGGTATGCCGTTAGAAAGCGTAATAAGAGAGACACGGGTCGCTGACGACGCGAAGTGAATGAATGATGGATGCACAGCGAAATTATCGACATTCTTGACCAATCATGGCTTGAGAAAAACTGGGAGTTAGTTGCAAGACAAAAAATGTGACATTGAAGAGACGTGTGGTGATGAACTGCTGAGATGATCGACTGGTCTAACATTTATCTTTAGAGGAAAGGTTTTTCAATTCAATACTTTGAATGGGGTAAAGAATCAGTGAAAATTTATTTTACAAACCAAAGTAACATCACGTAGGTAATCTGAAACTGACCAATATTGGGAATTTAAGACTCGTCCATCACAATGACAGTAAATCAAATCTGGTTAAAAGACGATCTATCTCAAATACATCTCTACCTACCCCTTTTAACAATGACAGTCATGATATAATGCTTCTGTAATAAACTAACAATCGCATCAAACAAATGGTTAAAAAAATGACATTAATACATAGCAAGAATAGGCGGCAAAACTCAATGTTTTTTTTTCTTTTTGCACGCTCTGGTTTCGACACGCGTATTAAATGATTCTGCCGCGTAAATAACTTGAAGCTGGTGATTAATTACGTGTTACACTATCGTTTGATGAAACCGAACAAAATTATATTAAACCTAATAATTTAATGATTAAACCGAATTAATTTGTTTGCAAATAGTTTAAATTAACGTAGATAGATTATTTATCAACTTCATAAAATACCCTTTTTTAGTCTAAGCCGAAGAAAATTGTATTCAATTTTTCTAAAGGGAATTCTTTTAGCATACAGTTATTTAGCTCATCGCAGTACATGTGTATCTTCGACAAGTAAGCTCAGCTGTTTGCAGAACGTCACATCAACCAACCATGATTACTAACAGACAGGTAAAAAAAGCTTCTTTTGAAAGACGAATTCACCACAGACTCTTATAAATTCATTACTGGCAGGTCACCGAAGTGATATCATCTCAGAATCAAAAGCACGTTGAAGTACACTTGAAATTTCGCAGATTTATCTTTGTAAACTTGAAGTAGGGGTCGAAAGAGGCGGAAAATGGAACCACGCTTAAGATATTGTGGTACAAACAGCACGTCGTGCTACCCTCTACTGTGAATAGAATTTGAATCTAAACATTTTTGTAATACAGTTGAAAATGCGTTATAGAATTTTCAAGGTTTTGGGGTAGTTTTACATGCTGGCGTCTCCTAAAAATCCATATAATTCTTCAATGCAATATGGCCGCTCGCCCGTTAGTAGGGCGTGAAGTTGTTCACCACTCTTGTGCACTCAAACTGTCATTGTTTGTTACATTTCCATGGGAGCTGTGGTGTTTGCCTCTCAATAGCACTATACTATTTTTCAATAGCTTGATCGATTAGGGTTCCTGCTTTTGAAAGTTAGAGAGGGCGTATATTTTTGTCCTTTTTAAAATGGTAGGTACTTAAAAACCGACCCTATGCTTTTATAAACTCATGGCGCATTTTACGTTCCTACTAATAATATAACCGTACAGAAATCATATATCAATGAAGCAACCAAATGAAATAAATATTATCAGTTACCTAAATGAACGCAAAGAAATCTAACATTTACATGTTAATTACACCAACGTAATTAAACGCCTACCTATACAATTAATATTTTTCTTTGGCCCAGAGCCCAGAGCCCAGAGCGCATTAAATTAAAATCCACCATAAAGCCATATTTATTTTTGGTTGCTAAGCTATGGGTCAAATAGGACGCGCATATAATTAGTCTCTGTAGTATATATAGTAATCTAAAGGGGAGTAGACTTTATAACCGTCCCATAGAAAACAATACATCTTGTTTAATAACAGACTTGGGCACAAAACAGGTCATCATTAGTGGAACTGAGGGTGCAGAAAAAGGGTTTTGCAAGGACAATGGATATAAATATGGTCATGATTACGCATAAGAGTAGCAAATAAGTTTATTTTGAGGTTAATTAAAACAGTATCGAATTGGGTTAATAGATGACAGTAATTAGTTCGATAGGAAACTAATAACATTCAAAGTTTCAATTCGATGAATACTTAAATAAGAGATTCCATATTATGATCAGTCTTTCTAGAAGCACACAATCAATCTAAAAGAAAAACAAAACCAAACAAAAATTGCCCCAATTTATACTCGCTTTTAACAAAAAAAGAACGAATGACGCATTCATTCATGAACGAGTGAACTTAATTAAAATAATTATAATTCGCTCGTCATTCATTTTAATTACAATATTGATTGAATATTGGCAGCAATGGAAGTTGGGATACAATATGGCGACACCTGGTTTTGACAATTCAGAAATTCCATTATTGAACAGCTTTTGATCGCGAAATTGAGTGTCCAATAACTTCGTTCCGATACTGTCATCCCCAGCGATCTAGTAATAACATGAGACCACGAGGATAGTTGTGAACAGCTACGTAGAATAGTATCTTGTTTTATCATGTTTTGAGAGGAAACTGAAGCGAAAGATCTTAATCCTCGTTACGGAAATGTTGCTTAGATACGTACTCCTCAAAAAACTGCTTTTTGAAACCTATTAAACTGTCAAACACCAAGCGGTCACCGGTGACCGCGACCTATTGTTCTTTAATTGTGTCTATAAAACCGGTACTCGACGAGTTAATAAAATCAGATGTCTCAAATAATTTATCTGCATAAAATGATACACATTGACAACCTTACCTAAATAAATATTTCAATAAAGATGCTATTATTTTAATGGTAAACGCAAAAGTATTCCATGATTTTAGAAAAGGTAAGTACCTAACATGAAGTCCAATAAGACTAGATATAGCATAAATCCAAGAAAAGCACAAGTCTTGTTATAAAATCACTGAACCGAAACGTAATTAAATCATAAAATTACCGTAAATGAAATTTTATTGATTTGATGGTACATCAGCTACATTTCCATTCCCAGTTTAATTGCTTTAGTAGTTAGTCATCCGGGAAAAGGGATATTACAGGTGATTGATAACTATTAATCAATTTATCTCAGTGATCACTCACTAACTTTGATAGGATAAGCATCCATTCTGATTTACCTACTTGATACTTACGAAGTGCGTGGCTAAAATATTAGATGGCCTCTTTAAGGAAGTCATTAGGTTCGAAGTAGGTGGTTAAAATCGTGTATTTCCCAAGAAAATCACATTTATCAGCAATCATGAATCTTTTTCATCATCATCGTTATCATATCAACTAGACGTCATAGACATCCACTACTGAACATAGGTATCAATGATTGCCAGATCGACCGAATGCAAACATGCTGCAACCTGTAGATCCCTGAATATAATGTCAAAAATATTACCTACTCTTGGGTAGTCAAACGACCATGTTACGAACAGAATACTTATTAGGAACCTGTACCATGTTTTAGGTAAACTCAGACCCTGAACATGAAAGTCACTCTTGAGATATACGTCAAGAATGAATACTAATAATATAATAATTGTTGATCAAGTGTAATGAGCAGGGAACGCACTGCTATTGGAAATTAAAAGTGAAGCGAAGCAGAATCACTGAGTGGTCATTACAAACTGATTACAAAGTTAATTAAATCTTTGATTTCGCTGTAGAACTGATATTACTTTCCACAATTAACGATAAATTGGATTGTGGTTAGGTACAAATTACTGTATTAAGTGTTTTTCAATCTGACGTCTTTGTTGGAAAAAATATTTGCGTTGCCGCTTTAATTTTGCAGAGGTAGGATTTTACGGTTGGGAGATGTGTTTGGGTGGTTATTTTATCTAACTAAAGAATTCTATGTCTTCCTTTAGGCACGCTTAATTTGAGCTTGTAAAAAAGAACTGGTTTGCTAGGCGCCATAAATCCTGAAATTCCTTTTTCCTTTTTACTAGTTTTCCAACTAGGGCGGAATTAGCATTTAAAAAACATTGAGCATAGTCTGCTCTCCACAATCCACTAAATCCACAAAGGAAAATACCTTCAATAGATCCTTAAGTCTGTTTGTCTTCCGACCTTCAACGTCTTATTGTCATAACTCAGTAATTTTTGGTTAATAACGTGGAATAGTTTGAAGCCAAATTATCCTGATACAAAGTCCAAACCAACAGCCGGAGCCAATCAGCACCGGATAAAGCCATTTCTGCAACAATTCATCACCATTCGGGTGTAGTCATTTGGCCCCCAACGTGTTTTGCGAATACGAATAATTACGTGACAAACGGACCTCCTACGCTCACAATCTGAGATTCGTACAATAGATTCTGCAGTGAACTACAGTTCAAGGAAACAATCAAGCAATTGGATAAATACGCTAAAGCGACAATTGAGTGGTTGACCTACTAATGCGTGTCACTTGTTCGTGTCTCTAGAAATCATTAAGCGTAAATTGTAATGTTTTTTTAGCTAATGCCAATTGGGTTTTAATTTTATCGGTCTTTTTCACAATTAACAGTGATTCTTCTGCCAAATAGCGATTACATTCCTATTCACACGAACAGGTTGTAGTTATCCAGTAACAAATAAAGATTTAATAAGACAGTAGAACTAGAATTCCAAGCATATTTATTCATTAGTGAGGGTAAAACTATGCACCGAAATAGCGTGTTGATTTTAATGACTTCAGGCAAGTTATTAGCTCATACACTACAATCATTACACGCCTGTCAGATGACAAAAAACGTAAAGAAATCTCATAAAAAGAAATTCAAGTGAAGAGGGAAAGAGCGATGTCTAACAATAAAGTAAAAAATGTGATCCCTGTAGACGATTTCAGGAATCTGTCCCGAAGAATGGCCGATCTAAAAGATTACGAATTTGTGCGAAAAAATGTGAATCTGGCACGTGTTTCGTCTCTATAGAAATTCTTAGAAGTTCTGTCAGAAGTACCTAGGTTATATAAGTATGAATAGATAACAAAAGCTCTAGTTTATCAAAGGAATTAACAAAGAAAGGTGGGAAGATGCTTAAAGAGAGAAAAATTGGACCATTTATCAAGGCTTAAGTGCTTTGAGATCTACAGCATTTGTTTGCATTTGCAGTTTGTCTAGTACCCGTTCGTAGTATACCAAGCTACTTCTTTAATTTTAGAAGTCTATCGCTTACCACCGGGAAATGGTGGCCAAACGTCGACCAATTTGATATCAAGTTTATAAAAGGTCCAACGGGTTTTGTACTAAAATTCTGACAGTTCTCCAAGCCGAGTTCCGATTTTGTCGCAATTTGAATGTACTCAGGTACTATTTGCTTCACAAATAACAAACCTACTTATGTTATACTTTATCGGCCATGAAATACAAACATTTAATGTTATGATAACATAACAATACTAATCCAATACTGCATACTATAACATTACATAAGTTGTTTAAAATGTCCAGAACATAAATGTTCAACGTGTCCTAGTTTCTAAAAGCACGGTGCGTCGAACTCAACGATCTGTGGTTTTCAATTAATTCAATGCAAATTCTGTACCAACCTGCAGCCGTCATGCGGTTAAATTAATTTGGGAAAATTCACAGCAAAATGATTAGGTAGGTAGTTTGAAAATAGTAATTGGAAATTTCATGGAACCTGGATTATAACCAGATAATAATATGTCCACGGATTTAATCACCTTAACACATAGAAGTATGCAATATTTAGCAAGCAAAACGGAATATGTTTTTTTTTTACCACCATCTCGCCTGATGGTAAGCGATGATGTGGCTGACGATGGATATATGTTCAGAAAATTCTGTTATTGTAGCAGATACGTTATAAATAATAGTGTTACTCAGATCCAGATGCTATTTTGTTGCAATTTCCACGAAATTATCGACCAAATTGTAACACAGAGGCTAAAATAGAATGTCCCAATAACAGAATATTGGAAACCTGTCCAATTTTTACTTAACATGCTTCACAATTCCGTCAAATAATTTAGGAACCACCTTTTCCAATTTCGAACGCGGTCAATTATTGGGTACCCTTCATAAATGTGCGTAAATAAAATACTGTCTCATCTGTTGCATTATTAGGTAGGTAATACCCGATAATTGATTGACATGGCTTGAATCACTTGTTTCTGACGCTGTAGCTGCAGTAAGTGTAGGCAACAGATGATTATAAAAGGTATGCCTACTGCCATTGCAATAGCGCCAGGGGGCTTAGTAGTGCGTAACCAGCCTTTGGGGAAGTCGACCTTGGGATAATAATCCAAGGGGGTAAGACTATTGCCCTTGTAGCAACAACAGAAGCGTTTCTAGAGCCTTTAAAAAAAGGATAGCTGTCTTTTTATAATGCTTGTACCTTTAACTATAGGAAAGAATATTGCGTAACGGTATTGATTGCAAATTGTAATTGGTCCGTAGAAGCCAAACGTTACCGGATACCGACAGGTGAGAACTGATACCCTTGGGAAGTAACTCGATGCTGACACTACTTGCTCGACCCCGCCAGTCGGCCGTATCCTTAGGGTACCAGTAACTAGGCTGGCTTGTAGCATAAAACGTAGTCTTTATATATAATACTAAAGTTTAAGTACTTAAAACTCAATCAGTAATATTAAAGTTGTTTAAGCCAATCAAGCAGATGGTGTTTCCTGATGGTAAGCAATCAGAACCGCTCATAAACACTCGCAGCACTATAGGAGTTATGAGTACACTGCTGGCTTTTAGAGATGAGGAATTGGGAGATTATAAGAAAACTGAAAGTGCCTGACATCAAGCTCTTCTCTAATAACAATGGTGTGAGCGAAACGTGCCTGAAAACTACTTAACAGACCATGTTTTTCATTTAATTGTTGAGTAAAACGTCTCATTCACTATCATGCGAGTGTATGACGTAAATCGATGATTGCAGAGGTTGAATAAGTAATGGTTGAATCGGCCGTGACCTTGAAGTGTTATGAAACACCATTAGTGAACGCGCCTGCATTTTCCAAGCGTACAATACTTATTACATTTCCAGGAAAAACCACTTTGTGTTCAATGGAATAGAAATAACATTGGCATTTCACAATAACTTAAATCGATAGTTTCTATTTTCGCTTTTTATATAGCTTTATCGAGTCTTTATTTTCTTTGAAAGTTTCAAAAATACGTTTTTACGTATACGCTTCCGCGAACACAAGAAATAAAGTACTTGAAGTTGCAACTTAAACATTTGTAGGTAATTGGATTTAATCTGCATTCGAATCGAGGTGTTTCAATAACAAAGCAAAGTTCATCCGCAGTTGATCACAAAATTCTTCCGTCCGTCCTATCTGCAGTTTCAGCAGATCTTGCTGTTTGAATTTATTTGCAAAATGGATGCAGGTCGAAACTTTTGATTTTTAAGTGAAATGAGATTTGGATCGAATCTTCAGTAGTATCTAAGACTCGCTAGTAATCCCGTAAGTGGACTACAAATCATAGAATAGGCATAACAGGAAATAAAAATACAGTATCAAACTAAAAGCAAATACATTACGTACCATAAAACTCACAACCACGATACAAATTTCACCTCGTACTACATTATACGTTAAAACAAAACATCGTATCTATTTTATTGCTCATAAATAGCTTCTGCAACCCATATTTCATTTTATATCGTCATAATGTCCAGTCTTCATTTTCAAATAGAGGCCATTACATAAGTGCAACAAAGCAATGATAAAATTGCACTTTAAAAATGGTGGCCTATTTTCATGAGGAACACAGTTATTCATATTCCTTGTAATCGCATTTTAAATATTCGATCGAAGCGCCTGCGGATTCTCACTGGTGGTGCAGTGCGACTGCATCTCGTTGCTTGTAATATTTTATCAGGCGCACGATAACGAAGCTAACCCGTTTATGAAAATTAGATTATATGCCCCTTTATCGGACTTTGGCTTTCATTGAGCTTTGGTTTCTTCGATAACTCGTTTATTTGTGAATACATTTTGCGAGTAACAGAAAATTCATTACTTCAAAGTGTGATTGCAGTTCGTTAACTATAAGGCGTTTGAGCATAGTATTATTTATAGCTGTCTGTGAACACAGAGCGGTAGGTACATAATTATGGGAATAAATTATGCCTTTCAAGGGCAGTAGAAGCAGGGCACCCTTTTATCGATGTTTATTATAATCTAAGTTTAAATTTTTATTACCTACGATGCAATAGCTTCGCTGACGTGCAAATCCAATACACTGTAACTCGAGTTACAGTGTTTTGCTTTAATAGCGCTCATTGAATTATTTCGAGGCAGTTACATATACCTATAATATTATTATTTTATTTTATAGTACGTAGAAGGAGATACAAGGACATACAAAATACTGTATTTAAGTTGTATTTATGGTTTGTTATCGCATAACACTGTGATTGAAGTTACGGTATTTTAGCTCAATTGGTTTGGTTAAAACTCTGAGATACAGTGTTTTGACAAACCAAACAAACTGGAGACGCGCGCGGCGACATGTACCTACGTGTTGTCGGCGCACGGTACGCGGGGAGCTGGCGGGCGACAGCTCAACGGTTAGTGGTCGTGAATCATTGCCCATGCTCAGACGCGCGGATACTTATGATCGATAGCACGCACACGGCTGCATTGTTTACGTTCGTAGTGATAATTTTTGTGTAAGAACAATAAAATACTGTGTAAAAATAATTAAAAATGAGTGGATACCGAAATAGATTATTAGTAAAACTATCACAAAGTAATAAGCAACATCACAACAACTCATCATGTACCACAATGGCTTCCGAGCTTAACAGTGTGTTTGATGATAAGGAAAATATTGACTGCAGTGACAACATGGAACTTGACTGTTCCTCGTTTGTATTTGAAGCACGCAATATTAGCCCATTAATACCCCTCAGTGAATCGCAATTAAACGAATGTATTGCTGAAAATCTCGGTGACGATGTCAATTACGCGGAGTTACTACCTGTACCTGCATCTAGTTCTGATATTGGACCAGCAATTAATGAGGACCCGGTTTACTGTTCTACTCCTGATGCAGAGAGTTCCAATATGTCAAGTACTGTACTGCCGACTGAAACGCCAGAAGAATTTCATTCTCTACCAACAAAAAGAAGTCGAGACCCTAAAGTTATATTGGCAAATCAAAAAGAGAAGCATCCCTTGAGACCTCCTTGCCGAAACTGCAAAAAAAACTGTTCTGATAAAATCTCGGAAACGGACAGAGTGACCATTTATAATCAGTTCTGGAGTATGGATAGGCAGAGACGACGGGATTTCTTGTCACGACAGGTGCAGAAAATGCCCACAGCATGTAAAACTGCTGGCCCCAATTCAAGGAGACATAATACATTAACATGGACCCTTAATGAGTTTAAAATTTGCAAAACATTTTTTTTAAATACCTTAGGATTCAGTAACGATGAAGCAGTGCAGGCTGTTTTAAAACAAAACCACTTAACTCAAAACAAGAATCCAAAAATTTGTGCTGCTCCTGATCCTAGAGGTCGTCACACACCTTATAATGCTTTTCCTATTGAATACGAAAACGAAATAAAGAATTTTATACTGAAATTTAATCCTATGCCATCACATTACAATATAAAACATGCGCCCAACCGAAGATATCTTCCGGTAGGTGTGAATTTTACTAAGATTTACAAAGATTTTCAACAACACTGCCTAGAGAAAAATTTGAAAGCTTGTAGTTGGGCCCATTTTCATCAAATGATCAAAAATCTTAATCTTTCTACAGCAGAACCAGCTCAAGATATTTGCACAAAATGTAGAAATCATGAATTAAAACACAAGACGTTACCTTTACCTTGCAATTGTGATGACTGCATAGATTTAGGGACACACCTTGAAAACAAAAAAAATTCAAGAAGAGATTTAAAAATAATAGAAGAACAGTGTGAAAATTCTGAAGGCAGAGACATGCTTTATACTGTTGACATGCAAAAAGCTATTTGCATGCCACTGTTGACGACAAAAGAGTACTTTTTCTCGAGAAAACTCGTCCTCTTCAACGAATCTTTTGTACCCCCGGGAAAAAATAAAGAAGCTGTTTGTACAATTTGGCATGAAGGAGAAAGTGGTAGAAAAGCTCACAACATTGCTTCTACATACATTCATTTTCTTACAAAATATTGCAGGGATCTAAAATCTGTGACATTTTTCTTAGATAACTGTAATGCGCAAAATAAAAATAAGATACTTTTATCTGCTTTGATAAGAGTAATTAACGATAAAAAGACGAATTTAGACAAAATTACTCTGGAATATTTTGAGCCAGGTCACACTTTTATGGCCGCAGATGCTGTTCATGCTGCAATTACAAAGAAATTGAAATCGAAGGGCCAAGTCTATGATTTAGATGATTTTATTTTCAATATAAAAAGTTCTCGAAAAAATCTGCAAGTCGACTTATTGGATCATACACAAATGATCATATTCTCTAATGACTCTAAAGCAGCATTACCTAAAGGGTATAATATACAGAACCTAAAAGTTATAGAATTTAGAAGAAATGAATTAACAATATTTGTCAAGAATGATTACAACGCAGATTTTAAGGAGATATCCTTTTTAAAAAAGAAGATAGAACTTGACTTGCGGAAAAAACTTACAAAAGGCGTAACTGATCTTTTGGAAGAGATACCCAAAGAGACTGAACCTAGAGGAATTAGCGAGACAAAAAAGAAAGAGTTATTAGAATTGTGTAAATCGATGCCTGAAACAAGAAGAATTTTTTATGAAAATCTTCCTGTCTCAGAATCACTGGATCTTGACGAACACATTGACACTGATTTAATATAGTAGGTAAACTTAAAAATTTCATAGACTGATTATTATTAATGAAACTTTGATCTCATAATTATTTTTTCCATAATTTGTTTGCATTGTTAGTTTTATAACGGTTTTATTAATGTTTATTTTTATGTGCTATAGTTATTTTAACAAAGATTGATTTAAAGATATAAATGATGATCGATATTTTAAAAGAATTCATTCCTGAGTTGAGCTTTTGTTAATTTGCTATGTTAGTTCTTATTTCGCTAAATATTTGATTTATCTTTTATTAAACCGACTTCTTAATCTTTCCCGTTATTGTGACTCGAATGTCTTTTTTAAAAATTTCATTGTAAGATTTGATTTGAAGAGCTAATTATTTGATTCAAAAAGATTCTTGATCTCTTTTTTGTTTTTATTTTAATAAATGTCTATAAAATATAAGTTGTTTTTTATTGGTTTTTACTTAAACAAAATAGAACAAGTATGATAGCTACATTATGCTATTTAGTTATTAGTATTGGTTACTATTGTTAATGTTTATCGGACGCCTTATTAATGCCTATTCTGTTAATGTAATACACTGCATTTAAAAATACAGTATTTTTGTATGATCCAATAGCTCTGTTCTCATAAAACCAAAACCATGTATCTAAACATACAGTATTTTGATCAAACAATCTGGAACATTTCTTAAAGTTTTATCGCGGTAAAACACATTTACTAAATTAATTCTAATTGTATGAATCGTATGGTAGTACGATGTACATGGCTGTACAGAACGCAAAAATACCTTTATTTTGGTACCTAACATATAATATAATATTACAATAATTTTATTAATACAGGCCAAAAACCAAAAAAAGTTTTAAATACCGTTTTCTCAAAATGGGTACTTCTGAGATACAGTGTCTTGGATTTACACGTCAGTTCGTTCTTTATAGATTATCCAAAGTTTACTTTTTCTATTTCACGTCCTGCATTAATACTTATTCACTACATTTTAGTTTCTATGCACACAACACTGCGAAAGAAAATTCTTTCCTATAGATTTCCTTTCTTTGAACATTTTATAAATCTTCCACATTGCAATATAGGATGTTTTCAAGCTCCAATGAATTGGAAAACTGAAGCTTTATGCTATATAAAGCTTTATCCGTAGACAACGTGTTCAAATGCCATCAAGATACTTGTATTTCTTTTAAATTGTGTATTTTTTCCTTAATGTAAGTATCTTGCATTCATTCATTGGTTTTTCCTTGTGCGATTGATTGATTTATTATGCAACAATTCAAAGAAGATCGTATGCAGATGTTGCAAATATCTTCCTGTTTTAAATAACTCAATAAACTTTTAATTAAACTTTTAAATTGGAAATGTTTTATCATGACATGACTGTACAAATTGAGATGGTAATATTGAATGCCATATCCAAGTCAAAAATAATCAATTCCAGATTGTTTTTTTTTATAGCGTAAGCCGGTAAACGAGCAGACGGATCACCTGATGGTAAGCAATCGGCGCCGCCCATGGACACACGAAACACCAAGGCGTTACAAGTGCGTTACCGGCCTTTTGGGAATTGGGAATTTGAGGATTGTGAGGATTGTGGAGAATTCGGGGATTCAGGAGACTTGGGACTTGGTAATTGGGCCTCCGGTAACCTCACTCACACGACAAAACACAACGCAAGCGTTGTTTCACGTCGGTTTTCTGTGAGGCTATCACTCCAGTCGAGCCGGCCCATTCGTGCCGAAGCATGGGTCTCCTACACCTAAAACTTGATAACTGATTAAAGACCTTTAAAAAAGTAACGGAGATGGTAAGGAGATTCCTTTATGTAAGTAACATTGTTTTTCTTGCATTTACTCTCGCAGGCTTTCAAAAGGGTACTTATGTCTGGTTATAGTTAACCGAACTATCAGTAGTAACACAGAGCATAGAACAGAACCGCATTAGTTTCCAATAGTCAAACTTACAATCTCAATTTGCCGAAGCTAAGAAAGCTCTGCAATTAGGTCAGGTCATACAGACAGAAACGGCTAGGATTTATTGCCGTAAACTCAGAGCTAAACCAAACCTTGTCGACTTTCGTCCGCAAATTACCAAGAGATTACAGATTGCAATTATGCTTTGAGATTAGGCTTAATAGTCGACAAACATAGGAATGTTTTGAAGCGATTACATCGTTTGTGGTCTACATGACTGAATAACGGTTTTCTGTGAGCACCTACAACTAGTTTAGGTAATTATTAAGACAACCTTTAAATTTATTAAAGGTCGAAGGTTAATTCAACACAGCTTTGAATAAACATAAAGGGTTTTGCGGTTTATAAGCAAATCCTCCCGACAAAAGCCTTTATCCTACAACCACCGTTTATTAACGTTGGTTGAGATACCGACGATTACAAACCTAATATGTGTGTATTTAACTACGCATTTTCCTTAAAATTATACCTGTTTTCCTCACTCACATGATAAAACCGCAAACCTCTTGATATTACATTGCAAACCAATTTTAGGTTAGAAAAAAATTTTTTGACTAGCGACGCGCGACTTCAGAGCAGGATACAGTTCAAAACCGATTAATAAATTGGAAACATTATTGTAATTTTCAAAATTGTCATCTAGGGACTAAATCGGGGTCAGTATGTGGTTGGTTAAAGAAGTCTCTGGATAAGGGCACGACTCTCGGTACTATGGAAAAATAAGAAGAAGGAAAGTTTATTCTCTATTTTACATGGACACTAATACGATAAGAACCTGCGAAAAATATCTTAAAGCATTCTGGGAGAGGGGAATAACATGATGTTTTGCATGTAAAACTAGTAATAGTTTACATTACAGTCTGCTTCTCCTTTGCAATTTCTGAGCACATTTGTCCTGCGATTCGTATTTTAAACCACACAATTACCATTTCTATTGCAATCACAATACGCAGCGGACGTGTTTTGATTTTCTAAAATAAGGAGGGACGTTGTAGGCGGTGATTACGTCATCGTAGCGGTCGTTTTATCTCTATAATCTTTAACAAGTTTAGTCCTGTATAAGGAAAATGTACAATTTTTTAAGTAGCAAATGATAAAAGAGATTTTTCCTTAGGGAAACTCTACGAAATAGACGTCAGTTTTAAACTGATGTCTATTCATTAAAAATTAATTCAATGATTGTTTTATTTAAATACCAATAGCTATATATTGTACGGTTAACACTCAAAAGCTGTTTCCGTAGTATTCGACAACTTTTTGCGTTTGATAACCTGATTCTCAAGAGACCTTTTGTGGTATCTGGCATTCGCTACGACACAGAATCGTCCTAGGTGCTAACAGTGTGTGTAATACAAAAGCTATCAACTTTAGAACGGACTCAATCCAAAGTTTTATTGGTCCTTTACAAGGTCACTTCATAAATATAAGATGTATCTCTGAAAGGATTTTACAGCTTCTTTGCGACCGTTACGTTTTAATGGCGTACTGTTGAGTGTGTTGATGTCTTTCATCACGTTTTATTCGAAATATTCCTTTTACTACTTATTTATTGCAGTACCGGTACCGATATAGGGATAGCGAAGGCAGATACCTACTTGTTATTTCCAAATGGCCAGAACTTCCTCATTTGAAATCTATACTTAATTTTGAGGATTTATACACCAAATCTTAGTACTTGCTTACCAGTATAACAAAACAAACCGGAACGAAATAAAACACATCAGAAAAGAATGAACACCATTAAGAAACCTCAGAGGAGCACTTAAAGCACCGAAATAGCGTGTAATCCATGAATTGTGTAAGATGTGGGTACGTGCATGCCTCGCCTTACATGCGAAGCAAGTATTTATAAAGTTAATAATCCTTTAAGAGTTCAAGCTGCTTGTTGACCACCGCTCGATATAGATCGGGTCTGGAAATAGCACTAACACTTGAGCTGGTTTAATGAAGTTGGCACTTACTGCTCATGCATCATTGACGTCAAAAACTTCCTGGAAATGTTGCTCTGGATGAAAGACCATTA